TATATCGGAAATTTAAAATTGATTTGTGCTCACAATATCGCAAAAGGGAACAAAGTAAGTATCGTTTTATACACAGATCAGCTATATATTTTAAACAAAGAAAAGTTTTACATTGCAAAATAAATGAGATGAGTACAATAAGCACTGGACTTTCTTGAGATATTTGCTTAAAGTTCCTTCTCGGATATTTATTGATAATTAATCAAGTGGTTAGCTTTGCCGAGAATGTGTGCAAGGGACCATGACTGAACAGAAGCTTGCCTGCAAGAATGTGAACAGAGGGGCCGGCTTGCTGTGCAATCAAGCATGTAATTTTGGAGGTAATTTTCCCCAACAAGACCATATATGGATCCACTGTATATAAAGGCCCCACCTCCGCTGTACTTTCATTGCAGCCTTTGAAATTGGAAGACAGGACAAAAAATTAAATAAACCCTATTAACACGCTGCTTTTGATGTTTTAAATATGATGTTTTGCACTGACGATCCAAATCTGCAAAGTTGTATATACCCATGAGACTTGCACTTTAATGACCCAAACAAACTCATGCCAAATATAATACAAAAAGATTGTGCTTCACATAATCATTTTTATTCTTATTTCCACTGATCAGATCATCCAGTTAATTGGTTAGACATACTAAGTAAAGCATAAACATAAAATTATGTTCCAGACAAGGCTGTAACAAGGTACAGAAGTATCACTGCAATGGTTTGGATATTTTTGTGTAACTACTGTGTGATCAGTGTTGGAAGATCAGAGAGGGCCTGTGGACCTTGAGGTCTTCTATCATATTTGAATTTATGCAACCCACCTTGATCTTTAAGTTTTAACAAAGTGGTTATGACAAGGATCCCATGACTTCAAACTTAATTTTAAACACTGGTGAAAATATTAAAAATCTATCGCTGTGTGAAACTTTTATATTGATGCATGTACTTGTATCCTATTGATCCCTACTTTCAAGCCCCTAAAGCTGAGATTAAAACTACTTCCAGAGAGTTCATTTTGTGTTCAAAGGTGCACCTAACTGTGGGCCATAGTTCCTAATATACATGATATATCATTTCCAAGTGCCAATCAGGGAACACATGAGGTGCAGACCGGTACTTAAGTTTCCAGTTCCTCACTTGACAGGTTGGCTTTCAAAATATCAGCTGCCATTTAGCTTACATCATGATCATCCTTAGCCTTTCATTTCTTTGAAGAGATATCCTTGCCTGCCATTTGACAGAAGACAACTTGCCCATCATGGCCATCCAGCCATGTTTTGCCAATGTCATGGAAATTGGCTCTTACTGGTGACATAGAGTCTATGTTAAGACCAATCAATAAATAATAAGGGTGAAGCGATACACCGATATTCCGAAGCATCACGATATTTGACCCACAATACAATACACAACACACACTGGCCTAATGATCAATACGCCATGATACAGAACGCAAATCTTAAGTACAGTGTTCCCTTGCTATTTGGCCCTTCAATATTGCACTAACTCGGTTACACTTACACAATGTTTCCCCCCCCCCACATCTCAAAATACATTATCAGCTATTCACCATGAGCATGTATCACTGGAAATACCAGTCAACAAATCTAAACTGAAGTAGACAATTTCATCCCATTATTATACTATCTGGTTATAAAGACGGGTTCATTGTATATCAGGAGTTTGTTTGTAATATGTTTTATTAGTTTAATTCAAAATTTAATTCAATATTGTTTACAATTATTTCGGTGAAATCATGTATGAAGTGATCGGTAGATAGCACAACTCACCATTATTTAGACCAACCATGGTCAGAGTACCGCTATTGACACAGTAAAGAACTTTAGTTGCCAGAGAATGCATACATATATCATAAATGTCATACTTTAACTTGTTAAAAGTCATATTTGTGGCACTTTGACTATTATATGTCAACATAATGTTTTCGCATTAAAAATATATGTTGCGCGAGATGTCCCTTCGATGACTAGTCAAATTGTTGCACACGTAAAAATATCCTTCAAAAGCAATCAGCCGTACCAAAGTGCTATGCTTATGGTTCTTATCATTTTAAATATATATAGTAAAAGCAGCAATGAAAGTAACACGATATTGGAATATATTATTATCCTGATAAAACAAATATTTCTTTAGATACAATTTCTTCTGACCATTGCATCAAAATTCCTTGAAGTTGTATCATTGGCTACTTTTTAACTGAATCCATGGTAGATTGGAAGAAAACGTGTTCAGCTGATTGCTATGTCCGGCTAAGTTAACAAGAAAATACACACAGGAAATACAATTTAAATGGTAAATCATCATGTCTAGTGATGTTTTAAATCAAATTTCATATTTTAATTGACCAAGTTTGTTAAACCTGTTTGTTCACCTGAATTCACTGAAGGGATATGATGTGGTTTTTTAAAGCACATAACACTCGATAAATCTATTTCTACACTATGAGTAGAAAAAGATTTATCGAGTGTTATGCACTTTAAAAAAAACATATCGCATCTCTTCAGAGAATTCAGGTGAGCCATGTTAAACTAATGTTCTAACCATGTTTAACATAATGCAGTATTTGTAATTGTAAGTGCATGACTTGGAGGTTTATTGAGGTTACAGTCAAAACAAACTCAGGTTGTAGTCTGTGCCCAAAACTTTAAATTTTACTAGCCCAAAAATGTATATCGGTATTATTTTCAGCATATTTTAGTCTCAGTACTATGTGATTCTACTTGCCCAGAAGACAATTTACGAGACTTGGGTTTTGGACTAGTGGCAAAAGTTGCAGACTGTTACTTTGGTGTCAGGATACTTTATTTGTTTTATTAGATTAGAATTTATCCATTCACAGTGCACCATCGTGGCCAATTCATAATTTCCAAGTGCACAATTTGAAAATTCAATTCACCAATGGCGCAATTGCATGGCCTAGAATGTTATCAAATATTGTTTAGACTCTTTCCACAATAAAAGTTAGATTCGAGAGAAAAATAAAAAATATATCTTTATTTTGAATGTGTCACCTGCTTTCGATCATCTAAACATAATAAATGAATTAAAATTTAAACGATCAACGTTTGATGTACTTCTTCATACTTAAATAAGACATGTATATACCTGCACATTTGATGTTTTGCGGCAATCTATCTTGGAAGTATAAAAAAAAATACTGTCCAGAAAGCCCTTATCACAAAACTTTTAGTACAATATCATTTCTGATTCTCCTTAACTGTCAGGAACACACTAAAAATCAACAAAGGCTACTTTTAAACTGGGACACAAATATCTTGCTTGGGGCTATACATGCATAAGAAAAGGACATGTTTTCAATGTTATGAACGAGTAACATGGTCAAGATAGAATAAAACTTGGCTGAATAAACCCTGTGTTATGGGTTTTTGGACACTTAAGAAACATTCATAGTTTTCTCTCTAATCACATGAACATCTATAAAACATCTCATTGTCTACATTCATTAAAAACTTTCCCTTAAAAACAACCTATCACTTGAGTATTTACAATGTCTGTGGTGCTACGGGTTATAGCTAAAACGGCACCTCAGCAAAAGGTTACTGGACGAAAACGGCTCCGACTGGCGGAAACGGCACCTCGCCTCAAGCGAAAACGGCTACTATAGCCCGGCGAAAACGGCACCTTATTCTTTTTACCTTGGTAAAACATATGAAATTAAACTTACATAGAAATCTAGTTACTTCCAATCACCAATAATTGTGAAATTTTGAAACAAGTTTACATTAGGCATTAGCCTCGACTCCAACTTTATTCCAACTAGGCCTATGCACAACTCAACTTTATTTGAAAACATAACATGCTATGAAGTAAAATAAATGAAATTAAACTCACATCGTCTCTTAGAAACACAAATAACAGGAAATACCATGTTAACACATCAAATACATCCAATAACTTGTAAATACATCAAATACCATGTAAATAAATCATATATACTACCACATAAATCGTTATGGTTGTAAAAATTAGAAAAGCCGTTTTCGCCTAACATATAGTAGTTGTTTTCGCCAAATGCGGTGCCATTTTCGCTCGAGAAATCAGTTAGTATTGCTGAGGTGCCATTTTAGCCTGCACCTGATCCTACACACCCTGTTATCATGGTTATAGCGCAAGTAATTGTGACAAACATGGCCGTCTGAAAACGAATGATTTCCAAAACCTATGATCTGACAATATATATGTATTTGCTATTATTTGTCTCTTAATGCCACTTGTTTACTTAGATGATGATGATGATGATGATGATGATGATTTACATCTTGAGCAAATATGTGAAGATTTGGCCGTATTGATAATGATTACATCCAGTACCCTAAGTTACTTCCTTACCCACACTCAGTATGACAGTGCATGCTGGTTTAGTCTCAGACTGTTTTATACAATGTTAAGAACAAGGTTTCAAACAAACATCCAAAAGAAAACAAGGAAATATTTGCGCCAATAAACGATTAATTGGATACATATATACACATTCTGTCATACCAGCTTACATTCCTCAGTAGACTGATATCAGGTTTGACCTAATATAGGCCTAGGCTAGATCTAGGCTAGATCTAGGCTAAAGTCATCTTCACACAAACTTGGGATGACTTTTAGACAGTAGCCCGATAAAGTTGTGATTTTATTATCAACATGTAGACCGAAACGGCTAGACTTTTCTAAATGTTGAATAAGTAGTGAAAAGTTAACTATTGAGAGAAAATAAGAGGCTTGTTATTCGCAGAAGCGCAGTGTCGGACATCTATCAACACAAGGTAAACGAGGTGACATGACAGGCCGAGGCAAGATGGAAGGAAGAGACTGGAGAGGTACGGCTGTCAAAATGCTAAATATGACGAGCAATACAACTGACGAACACACCCTGCCCATTAGATTCATGCAAACACAGTACCTTCTCGACATCAAATTCACCAAGCACAACATTTTTAACATCAACAATCATAGAGTAACAAATTATGTGTCACCTGGTCTCTGTCCTAAGAAATCTAGTCCAATATGTCCGTACGATGGGTGGAAGATCTCTAGCCTTGCACCTGAAGTAAGAGCCAATACAATTGGTTCGTCTCTGTTAGAAGAATGTTGATTGGCCCGACGTTTCTTGCATGAATGAAGATGGTCACGACAGGGAGCGGGTTTCTAAATAGTAGATCTAGTTTATATTATTACAGACTCCCCTTTCTCAGCAAGCAGGATTACGTCTGGCTGTGACTGGCCATGTCCAACTTTTAGCCTGAAATCCCTTTGTTACGAAACTATCCTACAGATACAAATACACCAATTATGGAACGTAGTCAAATGTATAGCCTATATGAGTCTATTAGTTAAACGTACATGGCCTATGTGAACATGTAAAATGTACCAATGTTATATGTTTTATAAATGGGGAATTTAAACACTTTTTATCATTGTTTTTGAAGTTGTCAGAATTGTTGTCCCTGTGTGTCATTTCCGGTATATGACCCGTGAAGATCCGGACAGAATAGGTCTTCAGCAAAGTTGATGCTCGACGTAATAAGCGCCCACGGTAACGTTTGCTAAGATATAACAATCCCAATTAGCACCCCTTCCGATTGATCAATGTACACAAGACGTATTTATTCGCGTATAATAAGCACTCATGTGTTAGCCTATATGCACCCTTAATTATGGGTAATTGAATTATGGAAAAATATATCTGTCGTACATAAATATTTCAGCATAAATAACGATATTTATCTTTCAACTCAGTTTTTTTTCACCAAAATAATATTCTAGTAAGAGCCCCCTATTTCTAATTTTGAGAGCGACCTGGGCGCTTATTACGTCGAATACGGTAGCAGGAATATTGCTGAGTGCTGCGTTAAACAACAAACCAACCAACCATTTCCGGTATGGATCTATTTATGAAACATATTGTATAGATCTACATATTATTTACATTCTATATATTTTCTTACAATAGTATTGGCAACGAAAGCATATAAATTTCTTCATTGGTGTCGAGGAGAAAATATAAGACTCTCCATATAAATATTTAACCATATTAGACTAAGTTCTCTTTTGTTTCATTTCCTCCAGTCGTTCTATATCATAAAGGCTAAGCTGTTTCTGATAAAGTGTATACAATTGCAATGTATTATAGCAGATATGGACATAAGTAACATAATTACATTTGAACTGTGTAAGAACATATTTTCCACATTACACAGCAAATATAAGCATGGCCTCTTCATTTTGAAGTGCCCATAAAATGTTCGTGGAATCAGGCATGCGAAACCTTTAATTCTGTATATATATTTTATGTAACGTTTAACCTGATAAAGCGCACATGCACGTGCATAAAAAAGTAACACCCTTGATTCCCTTCCGTTCAGTACTTTGGTGTTCATCTGTTTGTTGTCAGAGAAAACCCGTACATGTGTTATTCTATTTTTTTACAGTTAATAGATAATTGTAATTGTTGTAATTGAACTTAAAATGCAATAAAAAATATATCAAGGGGCAGTTGATAGTTTCACAGAAATGGTGAATGTAGCAGAAATTAACTATTTACAGTGAATGAAAGCTCCCATTTTGCCATGAAAACTATTTATGTGTAAAAGTCAAAATGAAATATAAAAATGGTCTGGCATTGTTATGTCATGCGTACCGATATTGTCTCAATACATATTGTTCAACTTATGTCATTTAACGATAGCTACGGGCATTCTAAATAGACTTTATAGCTCGAATATAGTTTAAAAAAACAATACCTGTCCTTCGTTAAAGGTACAGGGGTTTGACCGATAGTGAATAAAGGATGAAGAAATCTGGGGGGAAATAATTTGTAATTGATACATGTATCTGTTATAAACGCAAAGGCAAAATAACTGTGATCATATAAAGCTTATGATTACTGAAAATGGATATAATCATTTTGAGTATTTCAATTTCAAATTTTGAATCTGTTTACATTTTAAATGTATTCAATCATAAAATCTTTACAAAGCCTTTTGGGCCAATCTTCAGCCCATGGGGTGGGTGGGGGTGGGGGTGGGGTGGGGGTGGTGTTTTTAACACATAAGCAAATGATAATAAAATAAGAACATGATATTACAGTTAAGAACTGAATTTAATTCTTTTTTTTAGAGATACTTGTCTGATGGTGTATTTCACAGTAAAGTAGTTAAACGTCTACGTGTGTGTGTGTGTGTATGTGTGTGTATGTGTGTGTGATGTAACCGAGATACTGTCCAAAGAGGTGTGATACGTATTGATTATTTTGTTGAAAAAAAGCATCACGAACAATCTGTGAAATATCCTGCATTTGAAAATGCATTAATGACAGTAATTATAACCACTGCAGCAGACATTCGTCCATGTCTGGTTACATTAAATTAGTATATTAGTAAGTATAATAACCATATTAATTACCATATATTAGATCTATATTCCTTTCTCAAAACGTGTGTGTATAAATATTAGGTTTCTGTTCTTTAAACCTTAATAACTCGAATATCGGAACAGCTATTCTTCGTCATTACCAATAATAACTCGGTGTATTAAAAGATTGATTCGCTCTGTCACGATAAGGACGGTGTACAAACACGCACGGGCACCTGCTCGATCTGAGAAAAACGGGACCTGTTATGGCATGTCGCCTTGACAACAACCAACCAGTGATGCTTAATTCAAACCTCGTGACAATCGACATCCAATCAGCGCGCGGTATTTTGAACGTAGTACGTTTCTTTGTCCCCCAGATTGACCAACAGAATTTTACTACTTTACTACAACTGGAAACTTTACTACTGCGTCTCATGTACTTGGCAAATGGGCATCTACTGTGATTACCTGAATCCAACATTGACGTAACAGGACTTGATATACTACAATAACGAAATTTGCCGTTTGTGAGACCTTTCATTCAACTTGTATGGAAAATTCTTATGTGTGGAAAACCAGTAAGAGAGGATCGGATTTATCAAAACACTGCAGCTCTCCAGTCCAGCCACATCTCTCTTACATGCTTCTCTGTGAATTACTGAAAATGGATATATATAATCACAATGATCCAGACCATTTGTCAGTAATGGACATGATGGATGATAGAAATGATCTGGATAGTTTGTTTCTGAATTCCGACAGGCAGGATTGTGGCTTGGATCCAAAGTTAGACACAGTCTCAGTACTTCCTGATCTCGATGCAATGGACACTGGTGTTTCAGCTACGGGAGCATTCGGGGAATTTGACTGGATTCAAGGCCTCCAAAGTGCGGCACTTGCACAGCTACATCAACTGTCAGAAACTGAAAATACCGATCCGAATCTTCTTGTAAATCCACAAACTGCCATTCCAGTGCACCTGCAGCCACCAGCTCATACGCAAACAGTACGTGATGCTATGTTGACTGAAAATCTGAACAATGTGAGTGTGATCGTGACGAGTACCCCAACAACCACCCTATCCCTTGATTCCTTAGGATCACAGAATACTGTGTTTACTACACAAAGTGGTTTTGCAGTTTCAAATCAAAACAAAAATGTACTGTCTCCTTCAGAAAGCTCGCCTGTATTGGTGGGCCACCTACAGAACGGAATCCGTCCCCGATCACACATAACAGTTAACTTGCCACCAGCACCTGGACAAAGCGTCAGTATATCTACCCATGCACATACTAAGAAAGACACGGACAATAATAAACCGACAGAGAAAATCTTCCCAAAACCTGTCTATTCATACAGTTGTCTGATAGCCCTGGCTTTGAAAAACAGTCAGAATGGCAGTTTACCTGTCAGTGAAATCTACAACTTCATGACGTAAGTATCAAGGTCAAACAATGCAGTTTTTATGTAGTTTTTATGTAACAAGTGATTTCGTCTATTACATATCGTATTATCTAACACTTATATACTGACATAATTAAGTTACATGAGTTCTTACATATCTCAGCTTTGTGGAAATCATATAAACAAAGGAGCGCCTGATACATATTGTTGTTGATTCATAACCAGCTGATAAAAGAACAACATGTTAGCTGACCAGTAAATTCTTTTATTTATGTTGGGAATTTCAATAGATCTAGGCCTACATATATATATAATATTCAAAGTTTGATCTGTGCAGGTATATTTAAAAAAAAAAAATATTTGAACATACTAAAACCAGACAACTATGATGACTATGCTAGAGAAGTTCTGTTAAAGTGTATGCTTTTTGGTAATTGGTAGATATGTATTTTTATGTTTGGTAATTGGGAATACCCACCCAAACAAAGTATCTGTCTGTCCATCATGTTTGGTTTCGGGTGGATAACTCAACTGTTCAATATTTCTTCATGAAACTTCCTATATGTATACACATCAGGCATGCACTGAACTGGTGCCTTTTTGTTTTTAAGAAATTAAAACAAATCAATTTTGCATTTCCATGGCAACAGGTTGGGCTTAGGTTAAATGATGATATTATGGCTGGGACGGGTACAGGGGTCGGTACTGAGTAGGACCCGGCTACCCACAGAACTACCCGGACCGGTGGTTAGTCACAAATTTATATTGTTTAATGGCAAAAATTAACTAGAACTCTATGGTTACGCTTTTAAGTGACAAATGTTCAGATTTCTTTCTGACTATACACACATTCCTTCTGACTTCTTATGTTTGCATAAAGATAAAACTTCAGTCAGCTTCAGATTGGTTTATACATGTATAATGTATATTTTAATATCTGTATATCCTATAGCATGATACTGTGCTTTGTCTATCAGTTTAGATGGGAAAACGTAACAAACAAAATGCAAGTATAACGTAGGTTGTATATGTCTTTGATCAAAAACAGTTTGTTTTTCTTGACATAAAGTTTCAGTGGCAAGAGACCAAAATAACAATGGAGTGGATAGGCAAATAAAATTATATATATTTTTTATTTATTTGGTTGATGGTGTTTGGCTGTAATTTGTAATTTGGAAAACAAAATGTGGTAAGATGATCGTTCTTTTTAAATAGATAAGCATTTCATGCATGACTAACATTTATATTTTAGTTATGGACACTTGTGTATCTAAATACATTTTGACAGGAGTACGGTCAAATGTTTCCCAATCAGACATTTTGTACTATCTCTTGAGACCTACAGCCGGTAGATCTACCTGGATATGGTCGGACAATTGGTGCAAGTATTGTTGCCAAAACAATTAATTGAAACATCCAAATCTTATAGAGTTCATTCTATTTGATCATAATATAATGTTGATGGTATTAATGTTATTGTCATGATTGGAGGGATATTTTGGTAACTCAAAGTCTCAAACATGTCAAAATGTCAGGATAATCAACATGATCAATATCTTAATTTTCTTATGACTTCTGTTTTATTTCTTGCAACTCATCTGTCCAGCATTTATTTTGGACCGGAGACACCATGGACACTGACAGTGCCTAACCTTATATGTTTTTGGGGAAACTCTTTACTATGCCAGCCCATAGAAGGGACGGGATAGAAATGCAGTTTGTTTTAAGTCAGAACATGATATTTGTCATACAGCTTCCTTTTTTTATATGAAGAAACTTATTTTGTTCAAATCAATGTTAAAGCCCAACCACAAGTGTCATGCACAACAGATAAGGTTACTTTTCCCTTTCTACTGACTGTCTCTAGTATCTCTTCAGCTTGTCATCAAATTGTCTCTTGGAATGCTGAATCAGTCTAGCACTGGTTTTGTGTAAGGGAGTCGAATGGAGGTTGGATAGAGATTAAGATATTCAGCTGTTAAAGAAATCTTGCATATTATTTGTTTCAAAATAGGCATTATAGAACACTAAGCCTATATAGATACATCCATATGATATACATGGACATCATGAGAGAAGTACATATTTTGGATTAATAAGGGGGTCAAGGGACAATGTTATCTATATAACAATTTGAGTATTAAATTTACAATGAAGAATTATTATTTTTTTGTTTTTAAGATGTAGCTTATCCACATCAAACTTTCCTCTTATGGTAATAAAAATCCAGCAGTGGACCAGCACTTATCACAATTAAGGAGTGACGTTCTTGGAGCTGACAGGGTTAATTGATACCTATTTATACAAGGACCCTCCTGCCACATGATAAAGCTGATAACACCAGATAGCTACAGATGTTGGAAAGTTAGACCATGGTCAATCATTAAATTGTATTTGGTCAGATTTTGCAAAAAGTTTGAAAATCCCATTGTTAAGAACTACAGGGGCCTTGTGTGAATGTAATGACAAGAAGAAGGAATCAGTATTAGCACTCTACATCATTGCAAAATGCTTTTGTTTTCTTTAACTCACTGACAGTCACTATTGATGTTTGCACCAAAATAAGAATGTAGTGTCATAAAGGTATTCCTTCATAAGTCATGCGAGCAAAAGAGCCTTGTGACTATTTTTCAAAATATAATCATTGATAAGCACTGAAAGAGACTGCTTAATTTTTCAAATAATTATCACAGGGAAACTAAATTGAGAAATTTGGCTTTCGGTATCTCTCATTTTCAGGTAAAAGAAACTTCATAGAGAATCTTACTCAAGTGTCTTTTGATAACCAAAATATCAACACAAGTCTACAGTCAATAAAAGTTGAAAACTCTTATCGACAATTTTTGATATACTTGATATAAAAAGACAAGAAGGCGAGATTCATCCAATATCATCTTTCAACTTTCTCAGTTTGTAAATTGCATTGTCCATTATCTGCAAGACTGTAAATGCTTGGAAAAAATCAGTGCATGAATGCATCATGTGACATTGTCCATTGTGTAAATATTCTCACATGAGATGTTAGTTTCTCAGCAGTTACAGAAAGGGACCGACAATTTGATATGATTTCGTCTGGAGAAATGTTTTCCATAATTAAACAATCGGTCTGAAGATTTTTTAAAAGAAATACACCTTACAACAATGTAATTTTTGTGGCAGGCAGACAGTTTCATATTTTTTTCAACAGTATGAAGCATAATTATATTTTTAAAAACTTTTTTTCAGCCCCCCCCCCCCCCCCCCCCACACACACACAAGTGGATTAATGATTGGGTATCAGTAGTTTTGGAAACTATGGATACCATCTTTATCTTTTTGCTAATGTCTTTCTTCTGCCAAACTACCTACCCATTATGTGATAAATATAATCCTACAGTTAAATCAGATAAGAGTTAGCATATAGTAAGTAAACTGAACACATGATATTAATTAAAGTTGTTTCTTAATAATTTCATTTTCAGGGAAAACTTTCCATATTTCAAGACTGCTCCTGATGGTTGGAAGGTATGTAATTTGCATCAGTGTCGTTATTCACCTAGATGATGAGGTTAGTTGAAAGTCTGTATTCTATAATTGTAATTAGTGATGATAATAGGATAAAGCTGTGGGTAGGGCTAGCTAAAATTAGTTAAAAAGATTGATAATCTGAATCATCATTGATGGGAAGAAATATTAACAATTATCGATATGAAATTGTTGCAGAGCTCCAGATAAGCTTTTGGTGTTGTGGGTATTTTATCCATGCATTTTAAAATCATTGGGTATCAGTAATTCTATCTGGGTATTCAAATTTCTGTTACCCACTAGTTTTTACACATGTGGGTATTTAAGTTAACTATTTAAAAACACTATTCATCTAGTCCCTGCAAACTTGGAGGAAGGTGTGTATTGTAGGACTAGTTGTTGAGGTGAGAGGAAGGTGTGTATTGTAGGACTAGTTGTTGAGGTGGGAGGTGGTGTGTATTGTAGGACTAGTTGTTGAGGTGGGAGGAAGGTGTGTATTGTAGGACTAGTTGTTGAGGTGGGAGGTGGTGTGTATTGTAGGACTAGTTGTTGAGGTGGGAGGTGGTGTGTATTGTAGGACTAGTTGTTGAGGTGGGAGGTGGTGTGTATTGTAGGACTAGTTGTTGAGGTGGGAGGAAGGTGTGTATTGGAGGACTAGTTGTTGAGGTGGGAGGTGGTGTGTATTGTAGGACTAGTTGTTGAGGTGGAAGGAAGGTGTGTATTGTAGGACTAGTTGTTGAGGTGGGAGGTGGTGTGTATTGTAGGACTAGTTGTTGAGGTGGGAGGTGGGGTGTATTGTAGGACTAGTTGTTGAGGTGGGAGGAAGGTGTGTATTGTAGGACTAGTTGTTGAGGTGGGAGGTGGTGTGTATTGTAGGACTAGTTGTTGAGGTGGGAGGAAGGTGTATGTTATGGGACTAGTTGTTGAGGTGGGAGGTGGTGTGTATTGTAGGACTAGTTGTTGAGGTGGGAGGTGGGGTGTATTGTAGGACTAGTTGTTGAGGTGGGAGGTGGTGTGTATTGTAGGACTAGTTGTTGAGGTGGGAGGAAGGTGTGTATTGTAGGACTAGTTGTTGAGGTGGGAGGTGGTGTGTATTGTAGGACTAGTTGTTGAGGTGGGAGGTGGGGTGTATTGTAGGACTAGTTGTTGAGGTGGGAGGAAGGTGTGTATTGTAGGACTAGTTGTTGAGGTGGGAGGAAGGTGTATGTTATGGGACTAGTTGTTGAGGTGGGAGGTGGTGTGTATTGTAGGACTAGTTGTTGAAGTGGGAGGTGGTGTGTATTGTAGGACTAGTTGTTGAGGTGGGAGGTGGTGTGTATTGTAGGACTAGTTGTTGAGGTGGGAGGTGGTGTGTATTGTAGGACTAGTTGTTGAGGTGGGAGGAAGGTGTGTATTGTAGGACTAGTTGTTGAGGTGGGAGGTGGGGTGTATTGTAGGACTAGTTGTTGAGGTGGGAGGAAGGTGTATGTTATGGGACCAGTTGTTGAGGTGGGAGGAAGGTGTGTATTGTAGGAGTAGTTTTTGAGATTGTCAAGATGTTTGTGATTGGGTGAAGGAAACAACATGTCAAGCATCAACTTTAGGATTCGCTTTCATACAAAAAAATCCTTTGATTATGTAATAAGTGCTTGGTTAGAGTAGCAAAGCTCTGAGAATACTTTTGTATTTAATAAATAAGTTTGATACATCGAATTTGGTTAACATTATTATTTTGCAATATACTTAAAACCTTAAAGTGGTGTTCTTCATAATTTTCAGAATTCGGTACGACACAATCTGTCTCTGAACAAGTGTTTTGAGAAAGTGGACAACCCTAAATTGAGCAGCAATGCCAAGAAGGGGTGTCTGTGGGCCCTCAATCCTGCCAAGAAAGACAAGATGGAGGAAGAGATAGCCAAAGGAAGCAAGAAAGACCCAGTCGCTTTACACAGCAGCATGGCCTACCCAGGTGAGTCGACACTGATGATCAACAATCAACCTGTGTTTATGTGGGTGTTCAGCTGGAAAATAACAAATCCTGTGTCCATTTCCACCAGGTGTTGCAGATGTCCACAATAATACTTAATAGTTAATGTGTATTCTTGTTGTGTGTCATAGAGAGGCTGGAGAAGATTGAGCGTGGTGAAGCTGGACTCCACATGGAGCCAACCACACCAGCGGCTGCACCAGCAGCTCCCTGCGCCCCGTCAGACCTCACTGCCAACTCACACACACCAGCCAAACCTGATGATCTGTTTGCATCAGAACTTCGTGATCTCAACGTCCTTGACTCCAACTTCACCCTCGACCCCTCACTGTCTGACCTTGCCATGCAGGTAATCAGGACTCTTGCTAGTTCTAGAGGAACTGTCCTAGGAACATGCTAAAGACAAGCATGATCCTTTTCTGGGGAAGGGGTGGTGGTCATTTTCAAAATAGGGAGTGACAAAATACTTGGTGATCCTTACTCTCAGCAAACCATGTCAGTGTGCTTGTTCAGATGTTATTCGATATTTTTGTGCCCAATGCAGGTCAATCTGGGAAGACAGATGACTTTCAATTGAACCTTAGCTTGCTTATCTCCATATTCATGAATGGGAGAGACAGCCTTTGACTTCCCATCACAAGATTTGTAATCTTTTAACATACTAGCCACCGTTAAGTCAGACGTGTATCCTTAGTCAGACGTGTATCCTGAGTCAGACGTGTATCCTAAGTCAGACGTGTATCCTGAGTCAGACGTGTATCCTTAGTCAGACGTGTATCCTTAGTCAGACGTGTATCCTGAGTCAGACGTGTATCCTGAGTCACATGTATCCTTAGTCAGACATGTATCCTGAGTCAGATGTGTATCGTGAGTCACATGTATCCTTAGTCAGACGTGTATCCTGAGTCAGATGTGTATCGTGAGTCACATGTATCCTTAGTCAGACATGTATCCTGAGTCAGATGTGTATCGTGAGTCACATGTATCCTTAGTCAGACGTGTATCCTGAGTCAGATGTGTATCGTGAGACACATGTATCCTTAGTCAGACGTGTATCCTGAGTCAGATGTGTATCGTGAGTCACATGTATCCTTAGTCAGATGTATCCTGAGTCAGATGTGTATCCTGAGTCAGATGTGTATTGTGAGTCACATGTATCCTTAGTCAGACGTGTATCCTGAGTCAGATGTGTATCGTGAGTCAGATGTGTATCGTGAGTCAGATGTGGTTTTTGTGTTGCAGCATGGACTATGGGATGATGATCTTGCAAATGACCTCAACATTGACATGAGCCCCCATGTTGCTATGGCAACTGTGGGGTCACCTGTGGCATCGTCAGGCTCCTCCAGCAGTTCAGGTAGCGCCTTGTCCTAGGATCAGCCTAGGTAGCGGGGTAATTTTTTTTATTGACACCGATCATGACCGACAACACTTGCTACTTTATACAGATTAGTTAGGGGAAGAATTAAAAATGCTGAGATCACCATATCGGATGTTTATGATAAAATATTCTGACAATCAGACAATGGGTTGTAAAGTGAAACATGAATTTAGGTTGCTGTTTTCCAAATGACTTGTTTTATTGCACTAAATTTATTTTTCAGGTTTGATATATTGCTATCATTATTGTACATTAAATGGGTTTCCTGAAAAAAACTAGATGCTGACTGTGTCAAAGAATGAGAATAGTGAAAATATAAAATTATACATGAAGGGATAACTGGAAAAGCAGGCTTAAGTCCTACAAACTAAAGCTGTATTCTGCTTGAACCACATGCAGTTGTTAATAAGATAACCTTTTCTCATTGTGTACTTGTTATATGCGGATGAAGTAAAGAGTTGATTGTTTTCTAGCCATGTGTTGTGTTGCAGTGTTTGCTGGTCTGCCCGGAGCCACCTTCCATGGGACGTGTGTGTACACCTCTAGTCCAGTTGCTGGGCTGCGGTCACCATCGCCAGGAACACTGACCGCAACGCTGCTCAGTCTAACCACACCAAATCGCACACTGTCTGTTGCTCAGACCTGACTTGATGGCCACACTGTTATGCCATTTAATTCCTTGAAGTATTTCGTTTTGATCTCGTGACATACATTTTGAAACATATTTCACCATTTTACTGCCGTTTTATTGCATTTATCATTTGAAACACTGCCAATACGTTTGTGGAGATAATAACATCAATGCTGAACTGCAATATTAGCCATTTATATTCAAAGTTTGAATGTATATATTGTTCCAGTGGATCTATGTTCTCTATTTATTTAATGTGCCTGTGTTTTCCCCTACCGGCTTCACTTCTGTGTTCGAAATCAAGCATGAAGTCAAGGGTCTTTGTCATAACCCTAACAATTTAGATTTAGACCCCAGGACCTGCCATAAATTTGAACATGGTAGTGTGTTGGTGTAAGTTCACCATGTAGGTCTTTACACCAGTCTTGCTGCAGTGTGTTGGTGTAAGTTCACCATGTAGGTCTTTACACCAGTCTTGCTGCAGTGTGTTGGTGTAAGTTCACCATGTAGGTCTTTACACCAGTCTTGCTGCAGTGTGTTGGTGTAAGTTCACCATGTAGGTCTTTACAACAGTCTTGCTGCAGTGTGCTGGTGTAAGTTCACCATGTAGGTCTTTACACCAGTCTTGCTGCAGTGTGTTGGTGTAAGTTCACCATGTAGGTCTTTACACCAGTCTTGCTGCAGTGTGTTGGTGTAAGTTCACCATGTAGGTCTTTACACCAGTCTTGCTGCAGTGTGTTGGTGTAAGTTCACCATGTAGGTCTTTACACCAGTCTTGCTGCAGTGTGCTGGTGTAAGTTCACCATGTAGGTCTTTACACCAGTCTTGCTGCAGTGTGTTGGTGTAAGTTCACCATGTAGGTCTTTACACCAGTCTTGCTGCAGTGTGTTGGTGTAAGTTCACCATGTAGGTCTTTACACCAGTCTTGCTGCAGTGTGTTGGTGTAAGTTCACCATGTAGGTCTTTACACCAGTCTTGCTGCAGTGTGTTGGTGTAAGTTCACCATGTAGGTCTTTACACCAGTCTTGCTGCAGTGTGTTGGTGTAAGTTCACCATGTAGGTCTTTACACCAGTCTTGCTGCAGTGTGCTGGTGTAAGTTCACCATGTAGGTCTTTACACCAGTCTTTTATCGTTAACCTTATATTTATGGACAACTGTTTGCATATAAATTTGCTTGGGTAATTCAAATGAAAATATAATGTATATTTTAATATCTGTATATCCTATAGCATGATACTGTGCTTTGTCTATCAGTTTAGATGGGAAAACGTAACAAACAAAATGCAAGTATAACGTAGGTTGTATATGTCTTTGATCAAAAACAGTTTGTTTTTCTTGACATAAAGTTTCAGTGGCAAGAGACCAAAATAACAATGGAGTGGATAGGCAAATAAAATTATATATATTTTTTATTTATTTGGTTGATGGTGTTTGGCTGTAATTTGTAATTTGGAAAACAAAATGTGGTAAGATGATCGTTCTTTTTAAATAGATAAGCATTTCATGCATGACTAACATTTATATTTTAGTTATGGACACTTGTCCTGAAATGTCATTTCTACGGCAAACATAATGTTTTCCTTGTGAGCCACTGTTCCTTGTTTGTTTTAGCAGGCAGTGAATGATTGTTGCATGATGGACCATGCTTGCCATAAACAAGGAATTATGGGGATAAAAATGTACTTCCTCCAAAAAGAATGCTGGTTGAAACTTTGGCAGTAACTGTATATAAGTATATCCTGATAACGTACTGTCATGAGTTACTTAAAGTGCTGCTAAATTTGATGTTTGGATGAAATGCATGTGCATCACAGACCTCTAGATGTAGTGCTTGCAGTACATTTGTCAGGATATAAATGTAGTCTATATGGTCAACAGTCTGAAGGTGGCCTCTCATAGGATTTTTTATTGCATATATGTCCCTTTTATTAAAGTGACAAACTTACCAAAAAATGAATTCTGCTATACTTATGATCTAAGTTAGTTCACTCAAAATACCAATATTTCATATTTCAATGATAATATGCTATGGGGAATGCCATGTTTGGATGTTGTTTTGCTGGGGAATATCAACTGAATCTCACCTGATGGTGTTTATCAATCATTAAGGGAAACACGGACTTGTTCAGGGGGAAAGACTTCGGAGTGGGTGTGTGGTTCTGTAGTGCAAGGGGCGTATTCACCTGATGGGGGACAGTAGTGCAAGGGGCGTATTCACCTGATGGGGGACAGAAGTGCAAGGGGCGTATTCACCTGATGGGGGACAGTAGTGCAAGGGGCGTATTCACCTGCTGGGGAACAGTAGTGCTAGGGGCGTTTTCACCTGATGGGGAACAGTAGTGCAAGGGGCATATTCACCTGATGGGGGACAGTAGTGCAAGGGGCGTATTCACCTGATGGGGGACAGTAGTGCCAGGGGCGTATTCACCTGATGGGGGACAGTAGTGCCAGGGGCGTTTTCACCTGATGGGGGACAGTAGTGCAAGGGGCGTATTCACCTGATGGGGAACAGTAGTGCAAGGGGTGTATTCACCTGATGGGGGACAGTAGTGCTAGGGGTGTATTCACCTGATGGGGGACAGTAGTGCAAGGGGTGTACTCACCTGATGGGGGACAGTAGTGCAAGGGGCGTATTCACCTGATGGGGGACAGTAGTGCAAGGGGCGTATTCACCTGCTGGGGGATAGTAGTGCAAGGGGTGTACTCACCTGATGGGGGATAGTTTACTGCCATTGAAGAGAAGCCATGCTGATTGAGACTTCAGGTGTGAATCATGAATCCTACAATGTACAATATAAACTATAAAACCAACAAGCCGAATGTGTTCATGTTCCTTGACAGTATTGTCACAATTAACCTATATCCTGTAAATCATAACATTATTCCATCACTAAATTAATGTGAGTGTCGACCCCTGGCCTTAAATGTGTCGTGAAATTAATGTGGGGTAGCCATGCCTTTGAACTATAAATTGTAGAAGACAGTAATCCATGATACGGTATGGGAAAATAATAGTTCAAGTAGATAACTTCCACAAACTTGACTGACTCATGTGTGGTCACAAATGAAAAGCACAAAATTCCAATACAAATAAATCATATTCCAATGAGATAGGTCAGGTCACTGTCAAAGATTTACAGGTTTCAAGTGTTTTTACGTGTTAATGAGCAGTGTTGTGTATTCACCATGACTGCTGTTGCTGTACTGGACATTTTCATAATGTGAGGAAGCAGTGTTTTGCTTGTAATTATAAGATTATTTGACAAGATTACAATGGAAAGAGACCTCGTCATACATGGTTGGCAACTTCTTAGCTGCTTGATCAACTTTCGTAAAGGAAGTGACGACACTTGACACAGAACTTGATGAGAAGCCCTATCTAATTCTAGTGCTCAGTGACATTGGTTATTGTAAGCTCTGTTATGTATGTCATCGTTTCTGACCATGTGCAGTGAACTTGACATGACAATATACTCCAATATGTCCCGATAAAAATGTGTCACTTTATGAATTCGAGCAACGACCACTCGCTTTTTTCACATTAATTTCATGCTCGCATTTTAATTTCATGATTTACATTACCTATTTATTCTGGTGCAAACAAGATCCTAGGATGTATCCACCTAAAGAGCAACAGTTATATGTTGTTAATGTTTGTACATAGATATCCATGGCCGTCAAGTTTATACTTTGTTTACAAACATTTTAAATGTTATGTATATGAAGAAAACCTATTTATCGTACTGTTACATGTTGTTGATGTATAGTGTATGTTGATGTCCCCTTCAAGAATGGACTTAATAAAGTCAGGCTCAACATTTCCTTCGTCCTTTTTACTTGAAATAGTTGAGTCATTTTACTGAATATTTGTTGTATTCCTGATATGTGTTTGTGTGAGATTTTTAAAGAAATACTTCAAGCATTGGCTTCAAAACTCTTTGAAACTTAAAATAGAAGCTTAAGTGAGCAGATTAGCTGACACTTGTTCTTGGTGCTTGTGTTTGCATTAATAGTGGCCTTTCTAACTAATGCGTGCATTATACCAGTTTTAACGCTTTAGTTTTATGGTTTAGATTGACTATCATTATCATTAGCTACGGTAACTCCTATCTCTGTGCTACTCCAAATTGGTTCATAGGCATTACCTTGTCATCCTTCAACTTCTAAGTAGACACAATTTTATGGATAACAACTTCTTTAAAACTGTCTTGCTTGACAACGGTATAAGGATCTATACCAAAATGTCGCTTTTTACAGTAATAAAGAAGTTGTTTTCCATAAAATTGTGTCTACCTTGTCATCTGAGATACACCCCTATGAACGATTTTGATTTTGACTTGACTGTTCCATAGTGTTTTCCTACTACATCACAGTTCCAAACCTGCTTTGCACTGTATATGCTTCAGCAATAAACATGTACAGTATCTTCATCTGATGAAACATGCAACATGATTCACTTGGCTTCAAATATGAGTATTCATATATTAGATCCTGCAGCAATATATTTACTTATGAGTTGGAAACTGGACCAGTAAAGATTGTTTTTCTGCCATTGTGCTCGGTGATGGCAGCCAAAAATACCTTAACTGCAGCTACTTCTCTGATATCAGCATTGCTTGACTGACCTCAGCGCTGCCTCTCTTAGCTCAGCGTTGCTTCACTGATCTGTTTGGCCTTGTAGAGTTTGTAGTTGTGAATGATTTTGAGTCAATCCTTTTTCAGCCTCTGCAAATGTGTCCTATTGTGTTTACTAGTATTTAGTTTGCAGTTACTGTTTTCAGATATCAAACAATCTTAGACATATTTTGTCAAGCACATCATCTACCTTGCCCCAAGATTAGGAGGTAGCTTCTCGGGAGTCAGTCAGTCAGGGGGGTCACCAGTCAACTGTACCTAGTTATCAGAGTGATTATTCATGTGCCCAGTTGTGGGTCATGTTGTCTGATTGTTATATAACCATAGTGCTTATATAGTGACTGTAACCTGGTTCCTTTTGCTCTTTTTTCCATTTATTTTCTTTACAAGGGAGACACTGCATGCAGGCAATCATACACACTGTTGTGTTTCCTCGTAGTCCAAGACAACATTGTTAAGTGTTTGTTATGTATTTTATCTTCCAACTTGTAAAGAAGTCCGATGACTTATTTAGTTTTTGCTGTATTGTTGGAAATTATGTGAAATGGCAACGATTCAAAATGTGATGTGCCTTACTTTGTGTTCTGTCATTCCATCACTGGTCATACATGGTTGTTACTGCAACAATGCCATTTGGTTGTCCTTCCATACACTGTTATCTAAGTGGAAAGTGTACGTAAATTGTGTACATAATGTGTGAAAAATATCAATAAATTCTCTGAAAGATTAATGTTTCTGTCACTTTTTCACAATTTCACAATTGTGAAATATGATCAGCAGTATTACAGCTACATGTAGACACAGACAAACAGCCAGAAGCATTGACATCACCTATACAGTAGCATCACATCATCACCTGTACAGTAGCATCACACATCACCTGTACAGTGGCATCACATCACCTGTACAGCAGCATCACATCATCACCTGTACAGTAGCATCACACATCACCTGTACAGTGGCATCACATCATCACCTGTACAGTGGCATCACATCACACATCACCTGTACAGTAGCATCACATCATCACCTGTACAGTAGCATCACCATCACCTGTACAGTGGCATCACATCATCACCTGTACACTAGCATCACATCACACATCACCTGTACAGTGGCATCACATCACACATCACCTGTACAGTGGCATCACATCATCACCTGTACAGCAGCATCACATCGCTATCACCTGTACAGTACCATCACATCATCACCTGTACAGTAGCATCACATCACTATCACCCGTACAGTAGCATCACATCACTATCACCTGTACAGTGGCATCACATCACCTGTACAGTAGCATCACATCATCACCTGTACAGTAGCATCACATCATCACCTGTACAGTGGCATCACATCTTCACCCATACAGTAGCATCACATGACTATCACCTGTACAGTGGCATCACATCATCACCTGTACAGTAGCATCACATCACACATCACCTGTACAGTAGCATCACACATCACCTGCACAGTAGCATCACATCACTATCACCTGTACAGTATCATCACATCACTATCACCTGTACAGTAGCATCACACATCACCTGTACAGTAGCATCACATCATCACCTGTACAGTAGCATCACATCATCACCTGTACAGTGGCATCACATGACTATCACCTGTACAGTAGCATCACATCACTATCACCTGTACAGTAGCATCACATCATCACCTGTACAGTAACATCACATCATCACCTGTACAGTAGCATCACATCATCACCTGTACAGTGGCATCACATCTTCACCCGTACAGTAGCATCACATGACTATCACCCGTACAGGAGCATCACATGACTATCACCTGTACAGTGGCATCACATCAGCACCTGTACAGTAGCATCACATCACACATCACCTGTACAGTAGCATCACACATCACCTGCACAGTAGCATCACATCACTATCACCTGTACAGTATCATCACATCACTATCACCTGAACAGTAGCATCACACATCACCTGTACAGTGGCATCACATCATCACCTGTACAGTAGCATCACATCACTATCACCTGTACAGTTGCATCACATCACTATCACCTGTACAGTGACTATGGTGACTATAATAACATACAACCACTGGTGACTATAACAATGTACAGCCACTGGTGACTATAATATATAATAACGAACAGCCACTGGTGACTATAATAACATATTGCCACTGGTGACTATAATAACGTACAGCCACTGGTGACTATAATAACGTACAGCCACTGGTGACAAAATAACGTACAACCACTGGTTACTATAATAACTTACAACCACTGGTGACTATAACAACGTACAGCCACTGGTGACTATAATAACATATTGCCACTGGTTACTATAATAACGTACAGCCAATGGTGACGATAATAACGTACAACCACTGCTGACTATAATAACATATTGCCACTGGTGACTTTAATAACCTATTGCCACTGGTGATTATAATAACGTACAGCCAATGTTGACTATAATAACTTACAACCACTGCTGACTATAATAACATATTGCCACTGGTGACTTTAATAAAGAATAACCACTGCTGACTACAATAACGAACAGCAACTGGTGACTATAATAACTTACAACCACTGGTGACTATAATAACGAACAGCCACTGGTGACTATAATAACATATTGCCACTGGTGACTATAATAACGTACAGCCACTGGTGACTATAATAACGTACAACCACTGGTTACTATAATAACTTACAACCACTAGTGACTATAACAACGTACAGCCACTGGTGACTATAATAACACATTGCCACTGGTGACTATAATAACGTACAGCCACTGGTTACTATAATAACTTGCAACCACTGGTGACTATAACAACGTACAGCCACTGGTGAATATAATAACATATTGCCACTGGTGACTATAATAACGTACAGCCACTGGTGACTGTAATAACGTACAACCACTGGTTACTATAATAACTTACAACCACTGGTGACTATAACAACGTACAGCCACTGGTGACTATAATAACATATTGCCACTGGTGACTATAACAACGTACAGCCAATGGTGACGATAATAACGTACAACCACTGCTGACTATAATAACATATTGCCACTGGTGACTTTAATAACCTATTGCCACTGGTGATTATAATAACGTACAGCCAATGTTGACTATAATAACTTACAACCACTGCTGACTATAATAACATATTGCCACTGGTTACTATAATAACTTACAACCACTGGTGACTATAACAACGTACAGCCACTGGTGACTATAATAACATATTGCCACTGGTGACTATAATAACGTACAGCCACTGGTGACTGTAATAACGTACAACCACTGGTTACTATAATAACTTACAACCACTGGTGACTATAACAACGTACAGCCACTGGTGACTATAATAACATATTGCCACTGGTGACTATAACAACGTACAGCCAATGGTGACGATAATAACGTACAACCACTGCTGACTATAATAACATATTGCCACTGGTGACTTTAATAACCTATTGCCACTGGTGATTATAATAACGTACAGCCAATGTTGACTATAATAACTTACAACCACTGCTGACTATAATAACATATTGCCACTGGTTACTATAATAACTTACAACCACTGGTGACTATAACAACGTACAGCCACTGGTGACTATAATAACATATTGCCACTGGTTACTATAATAACGTACAGCCAATGGTGACTATAATACGTTCAACCACTGCTGACTATAATAACATATTGCCACTGGTGACTTTAATAACATATTGCCACTGGTGACTATAATAACGTACAGCCACTGGTGACTATAATAACTTACAACCACTGGTGACCATAACAACGTACAGCCACTGGTGACTATAATAACATATTGCCACTGGTGACTATAATAACGTACAGCCACTGGTGACTGTAATAACGTACAACCACTGGTTACTATAATAACTTACAACCACTGGTGACTATAACAACGTACAGCCACTGGTGACTATAATAACATATTGCCACTGGTTACTATAATAACGTACAGCCAATGGTGACTATAATAACGTTCAACCACTGCTGACTATAATAACATATTGCCACTGGTGACTTTAATAACATATTGCCACTGGTGACTTTAATAACATATTGCCACTGGTGACTATAATAACGTACAGCCACTGGTGACTATAATAACTTACAACCACTGGTGACCATAACAACGTACAGCCACTGGTGACTATAATAACATATTGCCACTGGTGACTATAATAACGTACAGCCACTGGTGACTGTAATAACGTACAACCACTGGTTACTATAATAACTTACAACCACTGGTGACTATAACAACGTACAGCCACTGGTGACTATAATAACATATTGCCACTGGTTACTATAATAACGTACAGCCAATGGTGACTATAATAACGTTCAACCACTGCTGACTATAATAACATATTGCCACTGGTGACTTTAATAACATATTGCCACTGGTGACTATAATAACGTACAGCCACTGGTGACTATAATAACGTACAGCCACTGGTGACTGTAATAACGTACAACCACTGGTTACTATAATAACTTACAACCACTGGTGACTATAACAACGTACAGCCACTGGTGACTATAATAACGTACAGCCACTAGTGACTATAACAACGTACAGCCACTGGTGACTATAACAACGTACAGCCACTGGTGACTATAACAACGTACAGCCACTGGTGACTATAACAACGTACAGCCACTGGTGACTATAACAACGTACAGCCACTGGTGACTATAATAACATATTGCCACTGGTGACTATAATAACGTTCAACCACTGCTGACTATAATAACATATTGCCACTGGTGACTTTAATAACATATTGCCACTGGTAACTATTAAAACGTACAACCACTGGTGACTATAATAACTTACAACCACTGGTGACTATAATAACTTACAACCACTGGTGACTAATAACGTACAACCACTGGTGACTAATAACATACAACCACTGGTGACTATAATAAAGTACAGCCACTGGTGACTATAATATCTTACAACCACTGGTGACTATAATAACGTACAGCCACTGGTGATGGCATAAATCCTGTTGGGGAATCACGAAGGAATCATAGTAGTGCAGCCTACGTATAGGAGAATGTCCGAAATCTCGCCATTATTTTCGCACGTGAAGCTTGTTCGAGGCCGTTAGGCCGAGAACAAGTTTCACGTGCGAAAATAATGGCGAGATTGAGGACTTTCTCCTACTTAAAACAAAGTTCGATCAAGTTGATGCCTCAAACTAATCTTCAAGTGATATCCACGTGCTAAACTGACGGAGGTGTGTTCTAGTTGTACATGGTCATGACAAACCAAGTCGCTAAAACACACCAATAAACGTGCAAAACTATGGGAGTGGTCTGTATAACTGCACATGCAACATGATATTTTTCGATTTTCGATGAACGACGTTCGACTCGGCAGGGTTGTCAGCATGAGTGCGAATGATTCCAAAACGATTTATTTGTCACACAAAATAGTTTCACGAACACTTTTGAGGTGGACGTTAATTCAGATTTTGAAACTTTACTAAATTTGGATTCAAATGAACTTCCAAACTTTGATGTTGGTAAATGTGAGTTGATTGATCTCGAAGGGTTTTCCTCAGGTTCCGACACTGATCTGTACAAAGCAAGCCAAGCAATTGAATCTAACCTTCTTGATATGCTACCTTGTAACACTCGCTCGCCATTAACTTCATCAGAAATACCTCAATCACGTGGCGCTTCTGAACAAAGCATAGATTCAAGTTCAGCAAGGTTTGCCAAGCCAACATCTGATATTGACATCAAGAAGTTGTGTGATTCGGCATACTCATCGAATACTGAAAACAAGAGTATGTGGGCAGTTCGCTTGTTTCAAGGGTGGGTGAAGGAACGACGTAAGAGGGGCAGAACAGAGGACATGGTATTGAACCCTGACATTGTGTCACTGTCTCAGGAGGAAAGGGAGTTAAATAAAACATTGATGTATTTTATGATTGAGGTCAGAAATCAGAAGGGCGAGGAATATCGCGGAAATACTCTTTATGAAATTGTCTCATCCCTACAATATTATATCAGAAGAAACGGCAGTCAACTGAATTTTTTCGAATCTCCGATGTTTCAAGGATTAAGGTCCGTGCTAGATGCGAGAATGAAATATTTGGCAAGACAGGGAATCGGGATACAGAAAAGGCAGGCTGAAGTGATCAGTGTCGACCAGGAAGACATGTTGTGGGAGAAGGGGATGCTGGGGGAGGGTACCCCCCAACAGCTATTAGATACAATGGTGTATTTAATTGGCCTCAATTGTGCTCTGAGGGCTGGTGATGAGCACCGATATCTTAGAACGGGCCCGAATTCACAGTTCGAAATAACAGTAGGTGCTGATGGGTTGAAAGGTCTAAAATACATGGAAGATGTGTCCAAAACAAACAGAGGTGGCTTAAAACATCGACAGTGTGAACGAAAATGCGTCAAAGTGGGCCAGAACTTGGAACGTCCAGAGAGGTGCCTTGTTCGGCTTTATGAAAAGTACATGTGACTCAGGTAAGTTATCAATGAATTTGACAGTATATCAGTGATATCAGTGAAGTAATTTTTAAGAGTATATTGGCAAGTTGATTTAACTGTCTTGGAATTTTCAACTCAAGTGTTCATAACACGTCACCTATTATTATGACTTCATTACAATTTAGTGACGCAATTTCCGGGGTAGAATAGGTCCTCGGTATACCCTGGCTGTCCTAAAAGGCGACATAATAGGAGTGGGGGAAGTGGTCATGTAATGTGTTCTGGTTGTTGTCGAGCCTTCGTAGATCGTTGCTCATGCCGTCAGCCACTAGCTGTCTGGTCCAGAACTGCTCTATATTTTTTCCCCATTTATATTTATTAATAGGCCGCCGCGATATAACTGAAATATTGCTGAAAGAGGCATGACCAACCAATTATATTTGATCCCAATGGTGTACACGTGACTTAACAAAGTTGAAGCAATACATATTTCAGCCATCGATGGTAAACGTGAACAATATTTCACTATGATGTCATACTATATTGGGACGTCATTAAGTTTAATGACGTTAACAAAATGAACTTCACGCCCCTGTGCGCGGGACATTGTCATTACTGACTTTTACTTGATCGTGTATATATACATTATTTTTTTTAATGTTATTTTCAGACCTAAAGACGGAAAATGCAACGCATTTTACTTGAGGCCCTTGAAATTTGTGAGAGAAAATACATGGTATGCTGACATTCCGATTGGATTACATCCTTTAAGAGGCACTATCGGAAGACTGTGTAAAGTGGCAGGTTTTAGTGGTTTTTATTCCAACCACTCCTTGAGGGCCACCACTGCAACACGTCTGTATGACTCTGGCCTAGACGAACAGCTTATCGCTGAGAGGACAGGGCACAAGTCTGTGGCAATACGAAGCTACAAGGTATGTTTTTTTTTATACATTTGCGCTGGTTTGTATTATATGCTTGTCCGCAAAATACTACTAATGTTACTAATACGCTCTCAAGTTATCGAACGGAAAGCTCAGTTGTTTTGGGGTCACTTTGAAAATGAAAACTTTTTCGTATATGTGTGACATCTAAAACATGACAATGAAAAATCTAGTATTTAGTTTAAGTATAAGGGGGGGGGGGGGGGGGGGGGGGTGGTCGGGTAGCCTAGTGGTTAAATCAATCGCTCGTCACGCCGAAGGCCCGGGTTCGATTCCCGACATGGGTACAATGTGTGAAGCCCATTTCTGGTGTCTCCCGCCGTGATATTGCTGGAATATTGCTAAAAGCGGCGTAAAACCATACGCACTCACTCACTTAAGTATAAGGGGTGGTCGTTAATGAAAGGAAAATGTTTTGGATGGGGCCAAATATGGATGAATATCGTTTATTACACGGATTAAACAAACCAGATCATTTCCATAACTGAAATGCATTAATTTATTATGTAAACGTAGAGGACATCTGCGGAGATGGAAGCCCGTGTTGACAACATCATTCAGAGGAAATCAAGTAAACCTGCATCCCCAACTGTGTCAACAGTTATCAGATCTACGTCAACGGCATCAACTGCATCAACTTTGACCAGTACCAAAGAGACAAATGATGACACAGCTTCGAGGAATGAACGCGATCTTAAATTGGTTCTTAGGGATGGCGTTGTTTTGTCTCTAACATTCTGAGAATAAACGTTGGGTCAACAGTGACATAATCTTGTTATATTTTGTTGAAGTTAGTGAAGAGTATAGGACGCATTTCCTGTATCTTCTCCCGAGCATGTATCACAAAATAATTTTGCAAAAATCATGCTGTACTATGGGAGGGCAACCGCTCTTGTTTAACTATGGGAGGGGAACCTTTCAAGGAAGACTATGGGACGATTTAGTACCCATACTCAAACTATTGGAGTGTCAGCAAAATGACTGCGTCCACCCAACTGTCATTAAAGTTCACGTAACTTTGTTTTAATATTTGTTAGTGAAGGCATCGGGACAGTTTCTTGAAGTGGACACAGTTGCTGACATGATGTTCACCACTGTTGCAGTATGCACAAAACCCTGTCTTGGTTGTGAATACTGCAGTTGGAGGATTTCGCTTCTGTGGAGGGTGAGAAGTATCCTTTGTTGATCTGTTTGGAGTTTCAGGTTTATAGACAGCAACGGCTTGGTGTGCGATTATTTTCACAAGTGTGGTGTTTGTCTGATCTTTATCAGTACTGAGGATGTTCTTGTTGATGCAGTACTCAACGAAACTATCGCGAGTTGAAGGTGGTAACTTTCCCAGAAGGCGATCTACATGAGAGCCACATCGGAGTTCATACCCATTTTCTCCTTCAATGGATTTCAGCATTCCCATTAGAGAATGAACCGACAAGGCAGCGTTCTCGAATGTGTCACTTTCTCCAAATCTCACTGGAGCCATGTGCATAATTGCAGGCATTTTAGACTGCACAAGCTGCCGTGACTGTACATACTTGTCTCTGAGGGCTCGCATGGCACTGGTAAATGGACTCACATGATATAGATAGGTTTCTGCTAGCCTCCTTGGCGAGCCTTCTAGTCGGCCAACAACTACCTGATACTTATATTGCTCGAAAAGGTGGGGGTGCACATTGACTAGACTGCATATCGCCAATTTAAGAATGGCAAAGTCTCTTTCTTTACCGGAAGAAAATGTGGGCAATGTTGGTTCAGAAATACCATATGATGAGGTAATAATCAGTTCAGTCATATTAGGCATTGTGGGTATCATACGGGATGGATTCCTTTCTGTACTGTTACCTTGTATCTGGGTACATGTATCATTGTCGCGCATTTTAAGCCCTTTTACACATTTTTGATGGGGCGACAACACGACACATTTTGACCTTGAAAACTGTTGCGTTGTCGCATTGTCTCCCTTTCAGGTTATTCAAAGCGCGACAATGCGTCAAATGGCCAAGAGTCGCATATATTGTCGCATTTTCGAGCTTGGATTAATTTTGACACTTTTTGTAAGGGCGGCATGCGACAATGCTACAACGCGACAATGTCCCTTCTCGCATCCTATAATTTATCGTCATTACACATTCACTATCATTTCAACATTTCCCTTATGTCGGGAGTACACTGGACTATCTGGTCGTAGAGTCGGGCCAATCCGCGGCTTGGGATCACTTGTCTCATGATAACATGACACATGGAAGATCCACCTGTCTATTCTCACCAGTCGTCTGAGAGCGCATGTTGGAGAAGATGTGGAACTTTTGTATTGTCACTGTTTTAGCGTTGATGTTTTCCCTGTGTGACAGTAGACTAGAGAGTGGGCTGTTACTGCGGTACAAGGACGGAGGCCGCACTGCCCGGCTGTACTCGGACGGGAACAGCGTAGTGTATGCCTTCTTTTCACAGGCCGGTCATCTTCTTGACTGCGATATGAGGTCACTCAATGGCTCCATGATTCTTTTCCAAGAGGTATAGTTTGCAATAGTTTTAAAGCCAAAGTCGTATTTTATTATCTTTTTGAACAAATGGTGTATATATTCGAACAATCTAATCTATTGATATCTGTGTATTAATGGCGTGCATGTAGCCGATATACAGACGTTTATTAACGTTTACAAGGTTCTGGGCCGGAAGAGCGAAACCTAGCCATAATCAACTCTAAAATATCTTCGCTTTCGTGAAGCTACAGTAAGACCGGTCACGCTACAGTAAACACGGGGTATTGCTATACCGGGACTCTCGAATTACAAGAAAAACACAGAAATGCGTATACCGTAATCACCGTAATTTATTAGATGCTGAAGTATAGTATAGTTGCACAAAAGTACTTTACATTTAACAAATTTAATAACTCTAATACTTTCTTACAAGGAAACGTGAATCCCTCATAAAACAAGTGCTGACCACCTGGCACGGTATCAACTATGGTCACTCGAACTTGTGCGTTAGCCATTTTGACCATAGATAAATAAGTAGCACTCTTTATATATACCATCAAATACATACTGTATGTATTCTTAAGAAACGACTCTCCTCTAAACTCATCGATATCATAACCCATATCAACTAAGAAACTAATTGTTTGTTCAATTAAGAAACTGATCATCTCTTCTCCTGTGTTAAACATCCAACTGTATTATTACGTAACGACTCTCTCCTCTCCTCTGTTTGAACAGCACGGGCGCTAATCTAAACTACGGTAATCCTGTGTTTTATAGCAATTACTCATTTCTCGCTTTTGTAGGACAAATACCCCAACTTGGGTTTTCGCTTTACTGATACTAGGGAAAATTGGATTTTCGCTAACCAGGCACGACACCGTTTACAAAGCGTTTTTAATCCGTAACTTCACTTAACAATACGGATAAATACTAAAATTCCTAAAGTCACTTAGCAATAAACAAGCACAGTGTTCTTTGTATTGTATTCACATATTCAAAAGACAGCAGGTATCCAGGTAATTCTCGCTGTTGTTGTGTTGTTGTTGCATTAGGTGTTTAAGAGGTCGCCTTCTGCCTAGGCAATTTCGGCTGACCTGTCCCTCTTTGGGACTCCTGTGTGTGAGAAGGGTTCACATATCTATTGTGAGTTCGGTGTTCACATAATTTCTGTTTTTGCATTGATATGATTTCTATTTTCTTATATTGATATGATTTCATTTTTATCCTTGGCTGCTCTGTTTATATACGTTCGAGCAGCTGTCCATCTCTCAGAAATATAGTTAGTTTGGCCTTCGCTATTGCATCTCTTGGCTTTAGGAGATCTATGACAGATAGCGGATCTAACTGCAATTCTTATTTTAACCTAGCCCGGGCTGGGGCATGGTCTTGACATTCTTGTAACAGGTGGTCAATGGTTTCAGCCTGATTGCTAGATGAACAAACCTTGTCATAGTGCTTTTTGTGACCAAGTCTGATGCGTGAGATAGCAGTTTCAATTTTCCTTTCATTTGAGTATGAGTTTGGCTTTTGTTGGACCTTGGGTTGAATTTTGTATAGCCATCTGCCGATCTTACTTGCGTCCCATTGGGCTTGCCATCTTTTTGCTATGGAGGCTTTGATTTTGCTTTTTATCTCTAGTTTACTAAAGGGAATAGGCTGTATATCCGCTTTGTCTAGAGCTAGCTTCGCCAGTGAGTCTGCTTTTTCATTTCCATGAATATCTATGTGAGAGGGGATCCAACACAGCTCCACCTGTTGCCCTTGGTCCGATAGTTTTGTATATTCGTATAGAATATTGTTGACTGTGTTTGGCCTGGAGTTTGAGTTTCTCCCACTGATGGCCTGAAGTGCACTTAGCGAGTCTGATAGGACGACTGCCTTTGCTTCCGGGAGTTCCGGTTGGGTTTGAGTGCATGATGAATTGCCTCCAATTCAGCCGTGAATACTGACTGACCATCAGGCAAGCGAACTGAATGTGCTTGGGGTTTGGAGCTGTGGATATGGATCCCGTAACCAGCACTGTTGTTGATAGGATTCTTGGATCCATCAGTGTATAATTTGGCCCAGCTGTCCCAGGTAGTTTGAATTTTAGTGATAGCTACTGATCGTAGTAGGGTTGGGTTTTCTCTTTTAGTGACTTCTGATGTTAAAGCAGTGTCAACTTTGGGAGTTTGTAAAGTCCAGGGAGGGTGTAACCCTTTGTAGTGACTTTCTGGAGGCTTAATGTCATCGCAATTGTGACTTCGAGTGAGTACTAATATCCCAGATGGCTTTAGTGAGGGATTTTTTCGAGCGAGGGCTTCATCTCGAGCGTTTTTGTCTTGCCATATCTTTTTAACCAAAGGGTTTGATGTTCGTCCCCAGAACGATAATACTGCCTGCTCTCTTCTCGCTGGCAGTACATGGTACATTTATACACGTTCCATTCTCATGCCAGCTCTAGCAACCTATACTCACCCCCTTCTCAGCTCTAGCAACCTATACTCATCCCCTTCTCAGCTCTAGCAACCTATACTCATCCCCTTCTCAGCTCTAGCAACCTATACTCGACCCTTTTCTAAGCTCTAGCAACCTATACTCATCCCCTTCTCAGCTCTAGCAACCTATACTCATCCCCTTCTCAGCTCTAGCAACCTATACTCACCCCCTTCTCAGCTCTAGCAACCTATACTCATCCCCTTCTCAGCTCTAGCAACCTATACTCATCCCCTTCTCAGCTCTAGCAACCTATACTCATCCCCTTCTAAGCTCTAGCAACCTATACTCATCCCCTTCTCAGCTCTAGCAACCTATACTCATCCCCTTCTAAGCTCAAGCAACCCATACTCATCCCCTTCTCAGCTCTAGCAACCTATACTCGACCCTTTTCTAAGCTCTAGCAACCTATACTCATCCCCTTCTCAGCTCCAGCTACATTGTAGGCATGGGTTACTGACACAGTACAGTGGTGGTGGTGGTGGGGTCTACACTGTAGGCATGGGTTACTGACACAGTACAGTGGTGGTGGTGGGGTGTACACTGTAGGCATGGGTTACTGACGCAGTACAGTGGTGGGGTGTACACTGTAGGCATGGGTTACTGACGCAGTACAGTGGTGGTGGTGGTGGTGGTGGGGTCTACACTGTAGGCATGGGCTACTGACACAGTACAGTGGTGGTAGTGGGGTGTACACTGTAGGCATGGGTTACTGACGCAGTACAGTGGTGGTGGTGGGGTGTACACTGTAGGCATGGGTTACTGACACAGTACAGTGGTGGTGGTGGGGTGTACACTGTAGGCATGGGCTACTGACACAGTACAGTGGTGGGGTGTACACTGTAGGCATGGGCTACTGACACAGTACAGTGGTGATGGTGGGGTGTACACTGTAGGCATGGGCTACTGACACAGTACAGTGGTGGGGTGTACACTGTAGGCATGTGTTACTGACACAGTACAGTGGTGATGGTGGGGTGTACACTGTAGGCATGGGCTACTGACACAGTACAGTGGTGGGGTGTACACTGTAGGCATGGGTTACTGACACAGTACAGTGGTGGGGTGTACACTGTAGGCATGGGCTACTGACACAGTACAGTGGTGGGGTGTACACTGTAGGCATGGGATACTGACACAGTACAGTGGTGGGGTGTACACTGTAGGCATGGGTTACTGACACAGTACAGTGGTGATGGGGTGTACACTGTAGGCATGGGTTACTGACACAGTACAGTGGTGGGGTGTACACTGTAGGCATGGGTTACTGACACAGTACAGTGGTGATGGTGGGGTGTACACTGTAGGCATGGGCTACTGACACAGTACAGTGGTGGGGTGTACACTGTAGGCATGGGTTACTGACACAGTACAGTGGTGGGGTGTACACTGTAGGCATGGGCTACTGACACAGTACAGTGGTGGGGTGTACACTGTAGGCATGGGCTACTGACACAGCACAGTGGTGGTGGGGTGTACACTGTAGGCATGGGTTACTGACACAGTACAGTGGTGGTGGGGTGTACACTGTAGGCATGGGTTACTGACACAGTACAGTGGTGGGGTGTACACTGTAGGCATGGGTTACTGACACAGTACAGTGGTGGTTGTGGGGTCTACACTGTAGGCATGGGTTACTGACACAGTACAGTGGTGGGGTGTACACTGTAGGCATGGGTTACTGACACAGTACAGTGGTGGGGTGTACACTGTAGGCATGGGTTACTGACACAGTACAGTGGTGGTGGTGGGGTGTACACTGTAGGCATGGGTTACTGACACAGTACAGTGGTGATGGTGGGGTGTACACTGTAGGCATGGGCTACTGACACAGTACAGTGGTGGGGTGTACACTGTAGGCATGGGTTACTGACACAGTACAGTGGTGGGGTGTACACTGTAGGCATGGGCTACTGACACAGTACAGTGGTGGGGTGTACACTGTAGGCATGGGCTACTGACACAGCACAGTGGTGGTGGGGTGTACACTGTAGGCATGGGTTACTGACACAGTACAGTGGTGGGGTGTACACTGTAGGCATGGGCTACTGACACAGTACAGTGGTGGTGGGGTGTACACTGTAGGCATGGGTTACTGACACAGTACAGTGGTGGTGGGGTGTACACTGTAGGCATGGGTTACTGACACAGTACAGTGGTGGGGTGTACACTGTAGGCATGGGTTACTGACACAGTACAGTGGTGGTTGTGGGGTCTACACTGTAGGCATGGGTTACTGACACAGTACAGTGGTGGGGTGTACACTGTAGGCATGGGTTACTGACACAGTACAGTGGTGGGGTGTACACTGTAGGCATGGGTTACTGACACAGTACAGTGGTGGTGGTGGGGTGTACACTGTAGGCATGGGTTACTGACACAGTACAGTGGTGGTGGTGGGGTGTACACTGTAGGCATGGGTAACTGACACAGTACAGTAGTTGTGGGTGATAAACTGTAGGCATGGGTTACTGACACAGTACAGTGGTGGTGGACGGGTTTACACTGTAGGCATCGGTGACTGACACAGTACAGTGGTTGTGGGTGATAGACTGTCGGCATGGGCTACTTTACATGTGAGGGGAAGTCCCTGATACTATTTAAATCTCGCTGTCACAGGCTTTGAGCAACCGCCCGGAATCTCATCAACTTGTCACATTTGACCTGCGTCGACTGGCAAGACAATGTCGTCGATATATGCGGAAAATGGTATGCCTTCGCCGTGTATGATTGGTATTCTATTGTATAACAGATGTACTAGAAATAGAAACTTACCAAACAGTAATGAAGTTTGTATGACGGTATAACTTCACACATTTTAACATAAAAATATTGTTTGATATTATTCATTAACTTCATGTATAATATATAATATTCACCGAATAAACGCAAACCATATACTATCATAAGGTAACTAAGGAGATACATCACGATACATCTACATTAGACTCTATTGGTGTATGTGATCGTGTTCTGCAAATGTAAACAACGAGCACTGTATCTCTCCCCGCAGCTGCGGCTTAGCGACATGGACAACATGGAACATGTCCGCATCACCAAACAGAGAATCAAGCTTCACATGGGATACCCTGGTAAATTATTTAAGCCATCTTACTTTGTATGACACGTTATAGTCTTATAGTGATTCATATTTTCATCCACCAGCAAATACCATGACATGAGACACCGTGCTTCTGAAAGCTGGAATTGCCCTCGTATATGTACCTCAGATACCCTTCTGTATACTGAAGCATATTTTAGTGTTAGGTTTACGTGATATATGGCTTTTCAATTGGACGAGAGACCGGTCACATGACCGTGAATGAGGTCTTGGTGGGAATAGTAAGACCTGATGGGGGAAAGGTCAAGACGTAAGACAGGGCAAGGCCCAGAGTGTTCATTTTAGAAAGCCGTGCGGTCAATAGCGCATCATTAACTTAAGAAGGCTCTAGGACACCATTAGCGTGTCATTAAAACAAACATCGCAGCGAACATATTGTTTGAAAGCTTAGGACGCACAAGGAAAGACCGTGTTTTCAGAAAACGAACTCAGCACCTCGAATCCATGAACGATAAAGTTAGAGAATGCAAACATCAGATATATCTGTTTTCTTGTGTGAGATGAATTCAAGCCCAAATCAGCAAGATCTCACACTCGATGTGTTGATCTACGGGCATGTCTATAGTGGGAAACTTTACAATGAATGCTAATCAGTTCTGCGTGGATCTGCACACTGACACGGTTCTTGGTTCAGTCTAATGCAGTCCTAAGTCTATATGCAGCTTAATGACACCAACTTTGTACATATACTTCACAATGGGAAGTAATGGAAATCATGGATCAGTTTCACTTCACCCCAGAAAGATTGTTTTCAACTCGGCGTTGTCAGCCATGTTCAATTTCTCAAAGGGGAGATATTCTAAAGACTTCAACTAAATATGTCGTGCACACTGAAGAGAACAGTTTTGCATGTCTATAGCTTAATTTCTGAGCTTTCTAAATTCTTGTTTCTATTCCTAGGTTTAGGTGGATACGATGCCATTTTGACAGGTGACCGAAAGTAACGCGTGCGTGTTTACGTCAGGGAATTGTAGGAAATATTTAGGGGAAACCCCTAATTCAATGCCAGGTTAATGAAAACACTTACATCATTTGATACAACCGATTATGCATGTGGGACATATTAGGATATAACTCCTCCTTAGTCACGAGTCACAGGAAGGCAGGCGGAAGTCAAGATAACAAGATATTGCTACTATGTTCAGGCACACAGTCGTGTATGACCACCAACACACAAACCAACAGGACAACGAGCAGGGCTGCCAGGACTGCCGACAAATGCTGCAAGGCACTCCATAGTTGCAAGGATGTCATGCCAGGTACACTGCGCGGGAAACTATTTGGGGAAGTAACTGGACATCTAGTGGAATCAGCACCATATTCTAAAGTACTCAAAACATATTTCATCTATACAACTGATTACATATTAGATATATACAACACTTTTCTCTAGATGGTAACACTATCACGCAATATCTATAGTAAATACTCGTATATGTGTTTATATAACGATTTCTTCCAGATGGTTTACTGATATAAATATGTCATGCAATATCTCCAGTATTGTATGTTCATACCTGGGTGTCGGTACTTCCCCTGCTTCTAAATGGTGCACAGATAACACTGTCGTGCAATATCTCTAGTTATTGTTATCAATACGTGGTTGTACATACAATCCCTGCTTTTAGATGGTGCACTGATAACACTGTTGTGCAATATCTCTAGTTATTGTTATCAATACGTGGTCGTACATACAATCCCTGCTTCCAAATGGTGCACAGATAACACTGTTGTGCAATATATCTAGTGATTGTTATAAAACGTGGTTGTACATACAATCCCTACTTCTAGATGGTACACCGATAACACTGTCGTGCAATATCTCTAGTTATTGTTATCAATACGTGGTCGTACATACAATCCCTAGTTCTAGATGGTACACAGATAACACTTTCGTGCAATATCTCTAGTTATTGTTATCAATACGTGGTCGTACATACAATCACTGCTTCTAGATGGTGCACTGATAACACTGTTGTGCAATATCTCTAGTTATTGTTATCAATACGTGGTCGTACATACAATCACTGCTTCTAGATGGTGCACTGATAACACTGTTGTGCAATATCTCCAGTTATTGTTATCAATACGTGGTCGTACATACAATCACTGCTTTTAGATGGTGCACTGATAACACTGTTGTGCAATATCTCTAGTTATTGTTATCAATACGTGGTCGTACATACAATCACTGTTTCCAGATGGTGCACTGATAACACTGTCGTGCAATATCTCTAGTTATTGTTATCAATACGTGGTCGTACATACAATCACTGCTTCTAGATGGTGCACAGATTACACTGTTGTGCAATATCTCTAGTTATTGTTATCAATACGTGGTCGTACATACAATCACTGCTTCTAGATGGTGCACTGATAACACTGTTGTGCAATATCTCTAGTTATTGTTATCAATACGTGGTTGTACATACAATTCCTGCTTCCAAATGGTGCACAGATAACACTGTTGTGCAATATCTCTAGTTATTGTTATTAATACGTGACTGTACATACAATCCCTACTTCTAGATGGTGCACAGATAACACTTTTGTGCAATATCTCTAGTTATTGTTATCAATACGTGGTTGTACATACAATCCCTGCTTCTAGAAAGTGCACAGATAACACTGTCGTGCAATATCTCTAGTTATTGTTATCAATACGTGGTCGTACATACAATCACTGCTTCTAGATGGTGCACTGATAACACTGTTGTGCAATATCTCTAGTTATTGTTATCAATACGTTGTTGTACATACAATTCCTGCTTCCAAATGGTGCACAGATAACACTGTTGTGCAATATATCTAGTTATTGTTATTAATACGTGGCTGTACATACAATACCTACTTCTAGATGGTACACAGATAACACTGTCGTGCATTATCTCTTGTTATTGTTATCAATACGTGGTTGTAAATACACTCCCTACTTCTAGATGGTGCACAGATAACACTGTCGTGCAATATATCTAGTTATTGTTATCAATACGTGGTCGTACATACAATCCCTACTTCTAGATGGTACACAGATAACACTGTCGTGCAATATCTCTAGTTATTGTTATCAATACGTGGTTGTACATACAATCCCTACTTCTAGATGGTACACAGATAACACTGTCGTGCAATATATCTAGTTATTGTTATCAATACTTGGTTGTACATACAATCCCTGCTTCTACATGGTACACAGATAACACTTTTGTGCAATATCTCTAGTTATTGTTATCAATACGTGGTTGTACATATAATCTCTGCTTCTAAATGTTGCACAGATAACACTGTTGTGCAATATCTCTAGTTATTGTTATCAATACGTGGTTGTACATATAATCTCTGCTTCTAAATGTTGCACAGATAACACTGTTTTGCAATATCTCTAGTTATTGTTATTAATACGTGGTTGTACATACAATCACTGCTTCTAGATGGTGCAAGGATTACACTGTCTTGCAATATCTCTAGTTATTGTTATCAATACGTGGTCGTACATACAATCCCTACTTCTAGCTGGTACACAGATAACACTGTCGTGCAATATCTCTAGTTATTGTTTTCAATACGTGGTTGTACATACAATCTCTGCTTCTATATGGTGCACAGATAACACGGTTGTGCAATATCTCTAGTTATTGTTATCAATACGTGGTCGTACATACAATCCCTATTTCTAGATGGTGCACTGATAACATTGTCGTGCAATATCTCTAGTTATTGTTATCAATACGTGGTTGTACATACAATCCCTGCTTCTAGATGGTGCACAGATAACACTGTTGTGCAATATCTCTAGTTATTGTTATCAATACGTGGTTGTACAGACAATCCCTACTTCTAGATGGTACACAGGTAACACTGTCGTGCAATATCTCTAGTTATTGTTATCAATACGTGGTTGTACATACAATCCCTGCTTCCAAATGGTACACAGATAACACTGTTGTGCAATATCTCTAGTTATTGTTATCAATACTTGGTTGTACATATATCTCTGCTTCTAAATGTTGCACAGATAACACCGTTGTGCAATATCTCTAGTTATTGTTATCAATACGTGGTCGTACATACAATCCCTACTTCTAGATGGTGCACTGATAACATTGTCGTGCAATATCTCTAGTTATTGTTATCAATACGTGGTTGTACATACAATCCCTACTTCTAGATGGTGCACAGATAACACTGTCGTGCAATATCTCTAGTTATTGTTATCAATACATGGTTGTACATACAATCTCTGCTTCTAGATGGTACACAGATAACACTGTCGTGAAATATCTCTAGTTATTGTTAGCAATACGTGGTTGTACATACAATCCCTACTTCTAGATGGTACACAGATAACACTGTCGTGCAATATCTCTAGTTATTGTTTTCAATACGTGGTTGTACATACAATCTCTGCTTCTATATGGGGCACAGATAACACGGTTGTGCAATATCTCTAGTTATTGTTATCAATACGGGGTCGTACATACAAGCCCTACTTCTAGCTGGTGCACTGATAACATTGTCGTGCAATATCTCTAGTTATTGTTATCAATACGTGGTTGTACATACAATCCCTACTTCTAGATGGTGCACAGATAACACTGTTGTGCAATATCTTTAGTTATTGTTATCAATACTTGGTTGTACAGACTATCCCTACTTCTAGATGGTGCACAGAAAACACTGTTGTGCAATATCTCTAGTTATTGTTATCAATACGTGGTTGTACAGACAATCCCTACTTCTAGATGGTACACAGGTAACACTGTCGTGCAATATCTCTAGTTATTGTTATCAATACGTGGTTGTACATACAATCCCTGCTTCCAAATGGTACACAGATAACACTGTTGTGCAATATCTCTAGTTATTGTTATCAATACTTGGTTGTACATATATCTCTGCTTCTAAATGTTGCACAGATAACACTGTTGTGCAATATCTCTAGTTATTGTTATCAATACGTGGTCGTACATACAATCTCTACTTCTAGATGGTACACAGATAACACTGTCGTGCAATATCTCTAGTTATTGTTATCAATACGTGGTTGTACATACAATCCCTACTTCTAGATGGTACACAGATAACACTGTCGTGCAATATCTCTAGTTATTGTTATCAATACGTGGTTGTACAAACAATCCCTACTTCTAGATGGTGCACAGATAACACTGTCGTGCAATATCTCTAGTTATTGTTATCAATACATGGTTGTACATACAATCTCTGCTTCTAGATGGTGCACAGATAACACTGTCGTGCAATATCTCTAGTTATTGTTAGCAATGCGTGGTTGTACATACAATCCCTACTTCTAGATGGTACACAGATAACACTGTCGTGCAATATCTCTAGTTATTGTTTTTAATACGTGGTTGTACATACAATCTCTGCTTCTATATGGTGCACAGATAACACGGTTGTGCAATATCTCTAGTTATTGTTATCAATACGTGGTTGTACATACAATCCCTACTTCTAGATGGTGCACAGATAACACTGTTGTGCAATATCTTTAGTTATTGTTATCAATACGTCGTTGTACAGACTATCCCTTCTTCTAGATGGTGCACAGAAAACACTGTTGTGCAATATCTCTAGTTATTGTTATCAATACGTGGTTGTACATACAATCTCTGCTTCTAGATGGTGCACAGATAACACTGTCGTGAAATATCTCTAGTTATTGTATGTTCGTACCTGGGTGTCGGTACTATCCCTGCCTCTTGATGGTGCACAGATAACACTGTCGTGCAATCTCTCTAGTTAATGTTATCAATACCTAGTTGTACATACAATTCCTGCTTCCAGATGCTGTCCCTCCCTGGGTGTATGAACACCACATGTGTCCTGTAGATGTCCTTCCACTTATCATTCTCCCCACCTTCGCAGATACACAACTGCATTTTTGAAGTCTAGTAATGTATTTAATCTATTGTTTGTTTTCAAGCTTCCGGGATTTATTTAGAGACGTTCAACTTCTACCCGTGGCCGGTGTACGGATGCTCCTGTACAGAGGCTTTCCATAGTTGTTTGAGGAAGGCCAAAACTCCAATTGCTCGTGAAGTGGGCAATCTTTACTTCAATGTGTTTGGAGCACGCTGTTTCCGCGTGGAGGAGAAACGTGAATGTGAGACCTGGGATGCGTGGTACACAAAATGTACACACTACCACAATACACGACATACACATTTGCAATCTTCCAAGTTATTTGAGGACAGTTAAATACATGCACAATCTTAATTGGAATTAACGTGAAGTATCCTTTTTAACATGTGTGATACATTTTATCAGTGGAACAGTCATCATGACACTGAATGACACAAACAGATGAATAAATGTTTTCCAAAAGTGGACATTCTATTTCTGGTCTTTATTTGTGAGACTGGTTGTATTTTACTCCATCTGACCACTGCATCCATATTTGTCTGTCCAGATAAGGATGTGATAATCAGATACATGTTGTCATCAGATGCTGATGCTATAGTTCGAATCGTACAAAGGAGTCTACTTTTAGCGGATATTTCTTATGTTCATTTACATGTCATGTTCATGAGAGCAAGCATATGGTATGTCCTATTTCATCTTATTTCTTACTTGAACCATGTGATTAAGATGGGTGACCCAGATGTCCAGTATATGGTGCAACTGTCTTGTCACAAGGGTTTCATTTGTTTCTGCAGGGCCCTTGTAATGTGTGCAGAACATATGAGCCATTCTTTAACAGTTAAAAAAGCTATCAGAGTAATGCATTGTTGAAATGATGAAACGAAGTTTGTCTGATGTTGAGACAGATTATGTAGTTAACAACATCCTCAATAATGCATTCATCTTACGACCATGTAATATCCCGCCACAAAAATATATTCCCCTTACTACCATGTAATATCCTGCCACACAAATATATACCCCTTACTTCTATGTAATACCCAATTACACAAATATATTCCCCTTACGACCATGTAATGTCCTGCCACACAAATATATACCCCTTACTTGTATGTACTACCCAATTACACAAATATATTCCCCTTACGACCATGTAATATCCTGCCACAAAAATATATACCCCTTACTTCTATGTAATACCGCATTACACAAATATATTCCCCTTACGACCATGTAATATCCCGCCACAAAAATATATACCCCTTACTTCTATGTAATACCCAATTACACAAATATATTCCCCTTACGACCATGTAATATCCTGCCACAAAAATATATACCCCTTACTTCTATGTAATACCCCATTACACAAATATATTCCCCTTACGACCATGTAATATCCCGCCACAAAAATATATACCCCTTACTTCTATGTAATACCCCATTGCACAAACATATTCCCCTTACGACCATGTAATATCCCGCCACCAAAATATATACCCCTTACTTCTATGTAATACCTCATTACACAAATATATTCCCCTTACGACCATGTAATATCCCGCCACAAAAATATATACCCCTTACTTCTATGTAATACCCCATTGCACAAATATATTCCCCTTACGACCATATTATATCCCGCCACCAAAATATATACCCCTTACTTCTATGTAATACCCAATTACACAAATATATTCCCCTTACTTCTATGTAATACCCCATTACACAAATATATTTCCCTTACGACCATGTAATATCCCGCCACCAAAATATATACCCCTTACTTCTATGTAATATCCCATTACACAAATATTTTCCCCTTACTACCATGTAATATCCCGCCACAAAAATATATACCCCTTACTTCTATGTAATACCCAATTACACAAATATATTCCCCTTACGACCATGTAATGTCCTGCCACACAAATATATACCCCTTACTTGTATGTACTACCCAATTACACAAATATATTCCCCTTACGACCATGTAATATCCTGCCACAAAAATATATACCCCTTACTTCTATGTAATACCGCATTACACAAATATATTCCCCTTACGACCATGTAATATCCCGCCACAAAAATATATACCCCTTACTTCTATGTAATACCCAATTACACAAATATATTCCCCTTACGACCATGTAATATCCTGCCACAAAAATATATACCCCTTACTTCTATGTAATACCCCATTACACAAATATATTCCCCTTACGACCATGTAATATCCCGCCACAAAAATATATACCCCTTACTTCTATGTAATACCCCATTGCACAAACATATTCCCCTTACGACCATGTAATATCCCGCCACCAAAATATATACCCCTTACTTCTATGTAATACCTCATTACACAAATATATTCCCCTTACGACCATGTAATATCCCGCCACAAAAATATATACCCCTTACTTCTATGTAATACCCCATTACACAAATATATTCCCCTTACGACCATATTATATCCCGCCACCAAAATATATACCCCTTACTTCTATGTAATACCCAATTACACAAATATATTCCCCTTACTTCTATGTAATACCCCATTACACAAATATATTCCCCTTACGACCATGTAATATCCCGCCACAAAAATATATACCCCTTACTTCTATGTAATACCCCTTTACACAAATATATTCCCCTTACGACCATGTAATATCCCGCCACAAAATATATACCCCTTACTTCTATGTAATATCCCATTACACAAATATTTTCCCCTTACTACCATGTAATATCCCGCCACAAAAATATATACCCCTTACTTCTATGTAATATCCCATTACACAAATATATTCCCCTTACGACCATGTAATATCCCGCCACAAAAATATATACCCCTTACTTCTATGTAATACCCCATTACACAAATATATTCCCCTTACGACCATGTAATATCCCCCGACAAAAATATATACCCCTTACTTCTATGTAATATCCCATGACACAAATGTATTCCCCTTACGACCATGTAATATCCCGCCACAAAAATATATACCCCTTACTTCTATGTAATACCCAATTACACAAATATATTCCCCTTACTACCATGTAATATCCCGCCACAAAAATGTATACCCCTTACTTCTATGTAATACCCCATTGCACAAATATATTCCCCTTACGATCATGTAATATCCCGCCACAAAAATATATACCCCTTACTTCTATGTAATACCCCATTCCACAAATATATTCCCCTTACGACCATGTAATATCCCGCCACAAAAATATATACCCCTTACTTCTATGTAATACCCCATTACACAAATATATTCCCCTTACGACCATGTAATATCCCGCCACAAAAATATATACCCCTTACTTCTATGTAATACCCCATTACACAAATATATTCCCCTTACGACCATGTAATATCCCCCGACAAAAATATATACCCCTTACTTCTATGTAATATCCCATGACACAAATGTATTCCCCTTACGACCATGTAATATCCCGCCACAAAAATATATACCCCTTACTTCTACGTAATACCCCTTTACACAAATATATTCCCCTTACTACCATGTAATATCCCGCCACAAAAATATATACCCCTTACTTCTATGTAATACCTCATTACACAAATATATTCCCCTTACGACCATGTAATATCCCGCCACACAAATATATTCCCCTTACTTCTAAGTAATACCCAATTAAACAAATATATTCCCTTTACTACCATGTAATATCCCGCCACACAAATATATACCCCTTACTTCTATGTAATACCCAATTACACAAATATATTCCCCTTACGACCATGTTATATCCCGCTACAAAAATATATACCCCTTACTTCTATGTAATACCCCTTTACACAAATATATTCCCCTTACAACCATGTAATATCCCTCCACACAAATATATTCCCCTTACTTCTAAGTAATACCCAATTAAACAAATATATTCCACTTACTACCATGTAATAACCTGCCACACAAATATATACCCCTTACTTCTATGTAATACCCCATTACACAAATATATTCCCCTTACGACCATGTAATATCCCGCCACAAAAATATATACCCCTTACTCCTATGTAATACCCAATTACACAAATATATTCCCCTTACGACCATGTAATATCCCGCCACAAATACATATACCCCTTATTTCTATGTAGTACCCCATTGCACAAATATATTCCCCTTACGACCATGTAATATCCCGCCACAAAAATATATACCCCTTACTTCTACGTAATACCCCTTTACACAAATATATTCCCCTTACTACCATGTAATATCCCGCCACAAAAATATATACCCCTTACTTCTATGTAATACCTCATTACACAAATATATTCCCCTTACGACCATGTAATATCCCGCCACACAAATATATTCCCCTTACTTCTAAGTAATACCCAATTAAACAAATATATTGCCCTTACTACCATGTAATATCCCGCCACACAAATATATACCCCTTACTTCTATGTAATACCCAATTACACAAATATATTCCCCTTACGACCATGTTATATCCCGCTACAAAAATATATACCCCTTACTTCTATGTAATACCCCATTACACAAATATATTCCCCTTACGACCATGTAATATCCCTCCACACAAATATATTCCCCTTACTTCTATGTAATACCCATTACACAAATATATTCCCCTTACTACAATGTTATATCACGCCACAAAAATATATACCCCTTACTTCTATGTAATACCCCATTACACAAATATATTCCCCTTACGACCATGTAATATCCCGCCACAAAAATATATACCCCTTACTCCTATGTAATACCCCATTACACAAATATATTCCCCTTACGACCATGTAATATCCCGCCACAAAAATATATACCCCTTACTTCTATGTAATACCCCATTACACAAATATATTCCCCTTACGACCATGTAATATCCCGCCACAAAAATGTATACCCCTTACTTCCATGTAATATCCCATTACACAAATATATTCCCCTTACTACCATGTAATATCCCGCCACAAAAATATATACACCTTACTTCTATGTAATACCCCATTACACAAATATATTCCCCTTACGACCATGTAATATCCCGCCACAAAAATGTATACCCCTTACTTCTATGTAATACCCCATTGCACAAATATATTCCCCTTACGACCATGTAATATCCCGCCACAAAAATATATACACCTTACTTCCATGTAATACCCCATTACACAAATATATTCCCCTTACGACCATGTAATATCCCGCCACAAAAATATATACCCCTTACTTCTATGTAATACCCCATTACACAAATATATTCCCCTTACTACCATGTAATATCCCGCCACAAAAATATATACCCCTTACTTCTATGTAATACCAAATTACACAAATATATTCCCCGTACTACCATGTAATATCCCGCCACACAAATATATAGCCCTTACTTCTATGTAATACCCCATTACACAAATATATTCCCCTTACTA